CTTTTTCTACGAAACGACCCCTGCTAGCAATCACGCCCATGACCAAGGCTAGCAGTGTTTCATTGTAGTGTTTTACTTACATGCAGTGTTGGGGAGGGTACAGATCAAGGCACGGAAAGTTGCATCGACCTGTTGCGTGCTCCCAACTCAGAACTGGTTTTAGACGTTCTCTCAATTAACTCTCCAAGTTAAACATGGATTAAACAGGAGTGGATCGTAGCACAAATGTGTAAAACAGGAATGGGGGTGAACACAGGGATTATCGTCTCGGCCCTGGTCGTGCCAAACAGACAAGATGGGCCACCGACAGACCCAGCAAGGAGAACTTCTTGATCTCATTGTGGTGGGAAGAGATCGTCCAGTGGTTATTAATGTGGCTGCAAGTGTCCCCAGTCTACAAACCTAGTCCGGGCCAGTTAGGGGAACTCCATATTTAAAACCAGGTGAATTTCATGTCCAATGACTGAGCTAGATCCAAGTCCAGTAGCACCTCAAAGACCAATAAGATTTCCAGGGTTGGCCTTCAAGGTGCTGCTGGGCTTGGATGTAGATCTTCTGCCGCAGACCAACACAGCGACCCACCCGAAACCATATTCAACAGTTGAATCCTTAATCTGCCATTCCCTGAAGCCCTGTGCAGGTATCCAGAGCTGTAGACCACGTGCATATGTAGAACGGAGCAGGATTGCACCCTTGGGTGGTGCCCTCCGCGTGACAGCTGAAGGTCATTAAGCTGAAGGCTACCACACATGAGTTTCTGCACTATACATGGGATCAGGAGTCTGGTTTTTGTAGCATTCCCAATGGCTGGGAGGAACCTATGTGCACAGGACTGTTGATGGGGTAGGTGATACCCCCCCTTCCCTCTAGGTTAGGGTTGCCATCTTTGGGTTGGGAAATTCCTGGTTATTTGGGGGTGGAACCTGGGGAGGCCGGAGTTTGGGGAGGGGAAGGATCTCAGTGGGGTATAATGCCATAGAGTCCAGTATCCAAAGCCACCCTTTTCTCCTGGGGGGGTTATCTCTGTAGTTTGGAAATCAGTTGTAATTCCGGGAGATCTCCAGGACCCACCTGGAGTCTGGGAAGCCTGCTCTAGGTGTATATGCATACTTTAAGGGGTTTTTTTTTATTTAAAGATTTTTAATGTTTTTAGACAAAAGGTTAACAGTAAAATCGAGAACAGCGTAAAATTATGCTTAAATACACACATCTTAACACATGTAA